CCAAATAAAGCGGAATGAAATTTATCCAGCTGAAAAAGACCTAGTTTACGTGTAAGTTGGTTTAGCCCAATTGCGGTGAAGAAGCATCAAGAATGCAACATCAGCCTCAGCATGGGGCACAATCTGTGGAACATGGTTGGCGGCATCCGGTTTAAAATCTGTGGAACAAACTACCCTACAAATACGCATGAGTGCAAACCATGTCACATTTGGAAATTCCCTAGAGACTTACCTCACTGTATCAAATGTGTGGAAGATCTTTGGCTCACAACAATCTCTAGAAACATTGACGGCAGCTCGTATAAATTATATATGAACAGCTATTTGCCTATAATCTGCTTACTCTCTCCATATCATTACCCACAAAACCAAACTTGTGTCCGTGCCATCCATAAATCCTTGTCCTATTAGTAGCTACTTCTGAGCCTCAAAAACTGGAAAACGGTGATACAAATATCGGCACATTCTAGTTAATGAATGTGTCTAGGACCCGATCAAAAATTCACATTCCGAGATTCTTTTGTTTTTGTTTTATTATTAGGAATTTATGTCGCATAAACCATGTAACCTATTCAGTGTACAAACGATGGCTCCCACTTATGAGGTCGTACATCGGTTGCCGGTAGATATACGAATTTAATTTAACAATTAATTTATGATTAGTCTACCTCACATGACCGATTTGAATTCTGCTAGGGCGTACTCGCCTAAGTCACATAAAACAACTGGGTGCAATTTTCTTCCATTAGCTAAAAAGAATCACAATGGTTTATGTACGTGTTCTTCCCTACCTGCCATACTGCAGGGCTCTTGATCAGCTTCATCGCCTTGAACGCAGCATCCATCTCACCCATCGTTAAATAGTAGCTGAAAGCTAGGATTGCTTCTCTAGTGCCCGAGTCCGCATGCTCCAGGTCAACAAAATCCCTCATAACTCGCCGATTGATGTAGTGTATGTTGTGGTTGTTGACTGACGCCGTCATATTTGTGGTTTCATTTTTATCCGGCGTTGTCGTATCCGATAGTTTGTCACCTGATGAGCAGGCTTCTCCTAGCGTGGTCAACGCTTTGTTAAGTTCGGCCCCAGCAGAATGACTGACCAGGTGACGTCCGCTCTTGGCCAACTGTCGCTCTCTTTGAGTCTGCTCACTGATGAGCCGATAAACAAGGTCACACTGAAACATAAAAATGTGGAATGCACAGGAAGTTTGGCACAGGTGCAGTGTGCGATAAGTGTATACCACTATGTCCCACCTTCAAAAAGTAAGCTGAAATCATAATACATTTGACCAAGGTAGCTGTGGCTCGTCATTCTATCACAAACCAGTGTGTGGTTCTTCTAAACTAGACTTGCTTAAAGGTCAAATAAGAATGAGTCCTCATAATCCTTAACTGTAGAGATGAAAGCCCACAGGTCTGAGAACTCGAGATGATGAACTTGTTTACCACTGCCAGAACGAGGCTGTGTGCGATGCGGAACACCTTCGGAATCGGATAAGGCCACTGTGATTTCTCTCGGTAGCGAAATCAGAGAGTGCATGTGAATGTCAGAAACGTCAGTTCAAATTCATTGACATCACTATTCACGGCTGTCAGAGAAGTATACTACAAAAAACTAGCCGAGGTCTACCGGCTTATAACTAATAACACGCATTTGTGAGGGTCCGAATCAAATGAAATATCAGCATGTGCTCAGATGAAGAATAAGAGATGAAAAGTAAGTCGTAATAAAACCTGTTACAGGTAGAACACACCCGTATTCGTCGCATTCGGCAATTTTCTGGACATTAACGTTTGCCGGTTAGACTGGTGGCAGGAATTAGAAACTGATGTGGATGATGGGTTGTCTGACTTCTAAGCCAATCTTGAAAAGCTTGCGCATGAAGTGATGAATGAGAAAACCTTGACGCCGTTAACACAATGCAAACTACAGCAATGATTACCTCACCGTTAGGAGGATACTAAAGGAATGAACGAAGCCATGATTGCCCCTCAGCTGTGCAAATGATAGTCAAGTGATATTTACAGCATAATGAACAACCTTAAGATTAGCGTTCGGTGAGGAACAGTCTAGATCAGCTAGCAATGGTACTGGTTAAACAGGGTCTTGTGAACACATGAAGGACATTACTGTGCGCCGTCCAATAAAAGCATCAAAACTATTACCCGAACAGCAAAGTAAAAGTAGGGGACTTCCAGGCCAATAAATTTGCTGTGATGCCAAGCCATTGGATAGGATTCTTGGACGATCGGACTGGTCTGTTCTGACCCGGCAAACATGGACACAATAAGAGTGGGAGCCTCCTGTGAAGAAAAGCAAGACATCTGGATATTTTTGCTGGCAACTGAAAAAATTAAATTCGCTTAGTAGCACTCATGGACTTTCTTTGCTGGGATATACGGATACTGCAGGTGGCTGGTTTCGTCATATTGCAGTTGGGATTATGGATAATAGAAGGACGATTCTCATAAAGGTAGTACCAGCCTGAGTGGTTCGGCAAACCACGAGCAACCGGACATTTGAACACACTATACTTATACCATGATTGCGTGGCATCAGAAACTTTTCCGTTCAGTCCAAAACAAGTTGTCTGCTTTCATCCTCTTATGTGTTCAGTTGGGATATTCAGCACACTAGATTTGGCATATAATTGGGAACGGCCAGTAATTGCGCAACTTGGCAGGTCGGACTGGAGACAATAACACGGTGCACGCAGCATACTGTGACTGCGTTCTGGTGGGACAAAAATGGCATAACCAAAAAGATTAATAACATGGGTTTGTTTTCCTACAAAACTGAATAAGAATTGGGACTTTTTGTGTAGGTTCGTCGCAGTTAGACACAGGCAGACAGACACCACACATCCAGGTAAGCGCTAGACGGCCGTTTCGTCCTATTGGGACTCGTCAGTAGCGCGCATCCGCCGAATCTTGCCGGATTCGAACCCACGACCCTACTCTTGCGAGTCAGCGACTTATGTCACTGAGCCCTGGACGACGGCAGCTGACCGCCATGGCTGATATCTAACTGCAATATAGCGCGGCTCATCCTCCACTGCATTGCATGTTTTGAATGTGCAGAGGATAGGGCTAGCCCCCGGAGCAACGACTTCCTTTGCAAGCCGCTACCAATCGAGGTGGTATGCAATATGCCAAGGCGACTGCTGCTTATTTTTAAGTAGTAGGGGGATTTATTAGGTTTTTGTATAGGTTCGTCGTAGTTAGACACAGGATTGGCGGCTGCGCGTTACTGACGAGTCCCAATAGGACGAAACGGCCGTCTAGAGCGTTCATGGATGTGTGGTGGCTGTCTGCCTGTGTCTAAATGCGACGAACCTACACAAAAAACTAATGAATCCCCCTACTACTTGCAACGAATTGGGACTCTTTAGACCCTTAGTCCTGGTTTCAGAATGAAGACGCTCGCACTGAGTCATGTAACCATTCAACATGATTTGCTAAATATTACACCGAACGCAAGGGCCAGTACGACTTTGTTCAAACCTATAAGCATTTTCGTGTATGAATAAATCGATCACTTACTTTTCAGAATTTTTAACCTAAGTTAATCGATGCATTACGGTGGCATTTACACTAGGTGTGTCATTATCATACGATGAAATTCAAAGAATCCGCAGTAGATATACTCGTAAACAAACAGGTGTAGAAATACTAAGCGAAGGGAAACAGCTGTTTCCTGCTTCTCAAACTACTGCTTCCCACCAGACATATTGATTAGTAACGAAGCATCTTGGGAGCTCATTTTAATTTGGGCGATGAGTAGAAAGAAGTTGCCATAAACCAGTGCGTATTCAGGTGAATGCCAATGTAAATTACTAATGGTCTAGTCTCCATATCATCACTTAGCACCGGATGTCAAGACCAACATTGCCGATCTTTAATTCATGGTGCCCTTCGTCTATGACTAGTCAAGCGAAATTGCCACCACTTGTCTATGTTCGCTTTTAGACAGGCACCTTTGCACAACAATACCCAATCGAGTGCATGCATTTAGTGTTCCCTAATCAGGCATGTTTCCCAATTGTCATTGCGAACTTTACCGGCTACTGGTGAATAAGTGCCGGATGTTAGCCTCATATTGAGGCAACACATAGGAAGTATTAATTGGTCCATAACAACAGCGCAACCCGAAATGAATGTTCATATGTCCCTTTGCTTGTAAATATTCACTCCATAGTGGTCTCTACTGGGGAACAAATGCAGCGACAAGAAATGTTCAAGCTGTGTGTTCACGCATTCCCACATTAGTAGTAATCACACTCAAATGCATTGAGTACCCAGAATCTTGGACTATGGGAGGATACCAGTGAAGAGAGGACATAGCAGAGCATGTAAATCTAACCGAGCGGTAAGTGTATGACTGCGTTGATCATCATCATTGGTACTATTTCGCATCTCATGACGATTGCTCATTGCTCTCCTAAGCCTAATATAAAGCACTCTAGTGGATGGCACGGGAACACAATCTTTCGCATGGCACATTGCCAGGGATTTGAAAATTCTCCGAACGCAAACCACGGAACTCTTACGTATCACAAGATCGAATCATCCATGAGTCTGCTTCCACACTTCACAGTTATTTTCGTCCAAACTGCCTGCAGTGCGTCAACATGCATTTTGCATCGCTCCCAGTGGAGGCTGTTGAGTCGTGAGCATAAAAGTCAAAATCTCACGTCAGAAGAAATGGGAACATAAAAAGAACAACTCAGGGACCCACAAGCACAACTACGGAGAAATCGTCTAATACGCTGGCTGATTGGCGTATTGCTTTCACACAATGACGCTGGGGCAATGAGCCTTATACATTAGGAAACAATCCTTCTAGATTAAGCCGCTTTCACCTACAGCGTTTCGCGCTCCATTCAGCTACCTGTAGTGTACCAGAAAACACATCCTTTCAGTAGTTTGCAACATTCGATTTTACCGTTGTTTTAACCTTCAAAACGTCCACTTGTTTTACTGACGGCACTTCCATGGACACAACTCGTTTTGGTGAGTACCTTGCTGCACCGTCTCTCGCTCTGGTTGATTCGCTTCCTATTTTTGTAGCCTGCACAATACACGTTAGGTTCAGTCGCCTCCAACTTTTATACTGTCTCGTATTTGACACGTGCCATTGATTACTGACTGGTATCCCAGGCACCACTCAACATACCTCTCACTCCGTTGCAGTGTCAAACTACACCACAAGCCAGGTATATACCATCATGTCACTGATACAAAAATGCTACCCTGCAATATCCACGCGAACTATCAACCAACATGCGATTGGTACTCTGTTTTTCGTTGGGGTGACTAACCATATTAAATGATGCTTGCTTCGTCAAATTAAGCTCATGCGTACGTTGTCCATTTGCTTGAATAATCAACTGTTTTGCGATCCCAATGCCCGATTTGACAGGGCCAACAACCTAGGCCGTGTCTCACACAGTCGAGAAATAAACTATGTATATATATATATACATATATACATATATATAATTATTTATTGATCTATTTATTCGATATTTTTGTGTGTTTGGAAGCGATCGGAAGTCTTCCTTTCAGAAGCTTGGATGAATACCCGGTTCAAATATTTGCTGATTTACGAGGTTTTGCTTTCGAAACAAAACTATCTACCTAAAAAAGCTTTTGTGTCAAATACGAAACGTCGAGTGCCAAAAAATACATTAAACTGCTGTACACAAAGCCGTGTTCGAACTAAAGAGCTAGAGTGCCCGCACTTTGATCAGCACTTCAATTTGCCCTACACTGTCTGCACGTTTTGAGCCAAATGATTTTCATTAGCTTCGCAAGTCTTCTATTCAGGCGCAACATTTATCCAAAGGTCTCTCGAGTACTGCCAGTTCTGCATTCTAAGGATACAAATTTGCTGGTCACTTCAACATACATCAGGGTTTAAGGTAAATTCATCCCTCCTTTTTCTCGAGTCATCTGTGGGAAAGTACCCTACTAAATAGTTGAAAAATTAAGTACTTTTACACATGTATTCATCTAAGCCCGAGTTATGCAGACATTTGACTGCAGTAGTGAGTGGCAAAGACGCAAGTTGTATTCCGACATCCTCGATAAAACCTGAATGTCTGCCCAAAGCAAGCCATAACCTGTACACCTAATACGTACTACAACGGTAATGAAATAAGGTGTGAACTTCGATTAAAGAAATGCCATGGTTACCTTAGAGTTTTTGATGCATCGAATGTGCTCTGAACGAGGCGCCAGTCTGCTGGAGGATCTACTTCCTTGACTTGCGACTCCATCTGTTCGGTTTACCACGTTCACAGGTGAGCTAGCCTTCACTGCAAATTGTTCAATAATCTTCGGCTTAGATAGAACTCCTCCATCTTCGAGTTCTCCGTCATCAGTAGACAGTATGGAAAAGACTGGGTGCGCAGTTTCAATCGGAGCAGCCTCGACTGCCAGTAGACGTGCGTCGTACTGATCCCAAGAATGGTGTCTTGGCCACCAGCCTATAGTGAAACAGGTTTGAGCGTTAGAAAACTGCTACTCGCGGCTTTAACCAACTACAACTGTGAGGATACAACAAGACTGGTTTTCTCAATTGAGTGACGTGTTGAGCCTAAACAAATTTTCCTTTCCTAAATGACCTGCTCCGCTTCATGCGAAATGCGGCAAGAACAAAGCTCCACAGTGAATAGAGTGGCCTAGTAAACTCATTTTCCTTCATCTGAGTTAACTCTAACTTGCAAATGATATTTAGTACACTCGTGCCGAAATACTACAACGTTGTTTCCCGCATGCTTCAAAAAATCGTGCTTTAAACTGATAGCATTGCTTAGAAAATTGCTATATTCAGTCCGACAATTGTTGGGTATATCTGCTTAATGAAATCACATACCAACTAATGGCTGGAAATTCTGGCTGCTAAAGCAAAATAGACACTATAGATTTATCTTAACGAGCGTAATACCTGAGTAAGTACAACAAAAGATAGTGATAAAGAAAATTCCCTGGCGATGCATGAGCTACAAGGTTTGAACAAAGCGATTTCGCGAGACTGTGTTCCATACAGAGTTTTGGTCTTTAAGGAGTTCTATGTGCTTTCAGATTTCAGTCCCGCGGTTGCATACCGCAGCCCTACTACTCAAATAACTAAGTGCTAGTCGCTGCTTCTTGCCAAATCAGTACACATTACGTAGACGGAGATACAAGTTAATTGATTAGGTATACTTATGAAATACATATGAACTCCAAGTGTTTAAAACGTATATAAAAGGATGAGACAACCCAAGAAAGCTCCTCCTAGGTGATTGAATCTAATCGCAACCATCAGGCTTTGTTTTGATTGTCAGATTTGGCATAATGCAAGGCTCGATGAGGGAAAAGATTAACTTGGCGGAAAGAAAAGAAGTTAGTGACAATCAAACGGAGGGCTATTGATTCGCCTCGCCTTCCAAGCTGCAGCCCGCGTGACTCAAGTTAAGTTCGGACTGAGACGTTACAAGATTAAACTCGCAATCGGTACTAGCGACGCATCCGCCGTCTCCTCCTAATCGGATTGTCTATGAAAATCGAGTGTGGTGCTGACTTATCTTAGGTGTAATGGCTGAGTAGGATACCGGTCTAGCATAGCCACAAGAAAGCTGCGTCGCCATTGGTGCCTTAGCTTCGCAACATATAGCTACGTGTTGCGTATGCCAGCACACCAACTCCCACATCATGCGTTATTATCGCGCCCGAGATGTGGATGGAGGAAGAGGTGAAACCAAGCGATGACGATTTAAAGCAGTGTTTCAAAACTAAGATTCGCGGACCCTTAGAGGTCCGTGGGATGCTTTCAGGGGGTCCGTAGGATTTCCAGAAATATTATACTTTTGTTAAAATGCTTTAGGCATGATCATTTTATTCTATAGTTCGAAAACAGACTTGCAGTGAAAAATCACTAAGTCAAATCTGACAATCTACATTCGCCTTACGATTGGCCACTGTAAACGCCTTCCAGGAAGGAAATTGGGTCTAGTAGATGCTTAAAATGTTAATCAAGGAATCTGTCAAATGTCATAATGATAGAGTGGTACGTTTTTGTGATGCGATGGATAGAAACTGGGTGGGTGATTCTCCATTCACGCAAGTCCGCATACCTCAGAATTTGTCCCCCGAGGGAGGCGAAAAGTAAATCATGAGATATGGCCACGTTGCGGTCATTTCGATAGTCGCTATAATCCGAAATCGCCTAATCGGAAAAAGAGGACCATTAGTGCGATCCCACCCATGCAAGAGTGCAGATTTCAATGTTGGACGAATGTGCTCATTCGCCTTTGAGAGTTGAAACGAAACTAGCTGCGACGTAAAAGAAAGGTGACTGTCCTGTTTACTTTATTTTATACTTCATTTAAAGTTTGCTTGTCAAAGTAGTCAATTTTGAGGTTTATACGGTAAATTTTTGATGAATTATTTATTTTCATTTTAGCATCTGTACATACAACATAAAGCCGTTAGATGAAGACAAAAACATAGCTGTGTCACAGAAGTATTCATCGTGAATTCTGATGTAGTAATAGTCGATATCAGAGTCTTCCCTTCAGGAAGAGTTTCACAAAGTGTCGCTGTCTGATTTCTAGTGTAAAACGACGGATGATTACCCAGAAATAGCGAAAACGGCTGTCGCCATGCTTCGCCCATTTGCCACAACTTATCCGTGTGAAAAAGCATCTTCAAATTACACCTATGCAGAAACAATGCACTGCAAGAAACTTGAACCTTAACCAGATTTGCGGTTGAAGTTCTCCTCAATAACACCAAACAGCGAACCAAGCAGCAATGCATGTCAGGAATAATTTCCTCCGCAAACTAAGGATTGTTGTAAGTTGTTTTTCTTCCTACATTCAAAATATTTCATTTTTTCACTAATTTAACTAGACACCCGTGTTAGTTCAGTGTACAGTAATGAACGTTTGCAGGACACTCTGCTTCATTCTCAGTTTATTAAACCCGTTTTGTAGTTACGAATATCTTAGGGGGTCCGCCGTGCGAGCTTCTACTAAAAAGCGGTCCCCGACCCAGAAAGTTTGAGAACCACTGGTTTAGAGGAAGGAAGACCTTCCCTTCGAAATTGTCGTCGGTTGGGGTTGCAAGACTGCCGGACTTGGAACCGAGAGACGGCGAACACCTTTGATTGGCTACACTAGCTGATATGGCGAAGGGTGGACCTCAGTGGCGTTTCTGTTGAGTCATTCTCTTCTCTCCACTCCTTTGGCTACCTCCTGAAATAACGAGCTCAAACTCTGTGCATAGTGTACCATTTAGCAATACGTTACTATTTTATAGCTTTTTAGTCTATAATGTTTGATCTTCTATGTTTTTGTATTGTGGCACATTAGCCGAGGGATGTTTCCCACCGTCCGCTAACCTGTATTGATGATGATGACCTCACACCATATCCGGCTTTCTGTGACCTTACGCTGTTGAATAGGCGTAGGTATATGAACCATGTACGCTTGCCTACTGCGTCTAGATTTCACATTAAGTCCTCCTTTTCTCCAGCTTATTGTGCTTCATTTCTGGAGCCATTGTTGCTGCACGGGAGCAAATCCACCGTTCAACTTACACTCTTGATAATGACCGATGTGCTAAGTCGTCCCCATATATATTACACTAGGCCAGTTCCTACCGGTAGTAATACTATCGTTAGCCTGCACTATGGAATGCTCCATCATGGAGTCAAGCAAAGTGAATGTGAACCGGGGTATGTCGTTGCATAACTCGGACGGCACATTAGCTGAGGTGTGGTTCTCACCCTCAGCTAACATATATTGATGATGACGATGATGATGATGATGACGACGACGATGATAATGATTGAGGATGATGATGATGACGATAATGCTGGTGATGATAATGAGGAAGATGAAGAGGAGGAGGAGGATGAAAATGCGGATGATGAAAATGCGGATGACGGCAAGGATGATGATGACGATGATGATGCGGATGAGGATGATGAACTCGGACGGACATCGACTGCTATTTGGTTGGATTTTGCCTACTCATCTTGGTTATTGGCACAACCGCAGTTGTTGAAGTACATGGCAGATACAGTGAGCAAGGATCTCATGATAGAGTATATTTTTGTACAATTAACTAAACGGAATGGACGGAAAAGGTAATTAACACATTATACCGATAAGGCAACAGGGTCAGTTTGTGGTAGGCTACTAAAACTAGTACATATAAAAACGAATCGACTCAAGAAAATCAGCTAAGTCGGATCGCCGAGGACGAATCAACCTCCACCGGTATGTTGTGAATGAAATGGCACGGCGGAATGGAGCGTCAGAGAGATAGCACAAAGGAAGTGTGCAAGTGGACATGAATTTCGGTTCTAACTACCATGATTTCTAGACATGTGTCCTCCAACAAACGATACATCTGCACCACCCTGCGTTCTCAACAACTTGCCACGCGCGTCTAAGGATAACCTGTACAAACTATTTCCGGACGCATCGTAATCAGTTGGGTGCTCACCTGTGACAGACACTGCTCCGGATGGATATTGTAGCCAGTGCATGTGATGATGGACGGCAGTAAAGTCAAAATACTGCAGCTTATCGTTTGCAAAATGATACACGTAGATCCTGGTATCTGGCCACCATTGGCTCAGGTGCAGAGCACCCGCACCACTCTGGCTTCCTGTTGTCAATTGTGTTTCGGCTGTGGTTGTCTGGTTAGAGTCTGACACTTCTGCTCCTTGCTCTCTCACTTGTCCATATCTCGAAGCCCATATTTTCGCAGCAACATGCCCGTCAGTGGACAGCTCGATAGTGAAACTCACAGCATCCCCATTTCGATTGACAGAGATGGAAGAGATGCGAAGTTCACTAATCACTGAGCTGGTACCCATCCGCTTCTCCGTCATGGGAACAGACTCGGAGCCGGATATAACTACTGGCACGACCATTTCGACAATTGATTTGGATGATTGGACGCATTTAATTTCACTGGTGGTGTAGAAAACGGTAGGTGAATTGAAAAGCGTTTACTGTTGCTTTAATGAAACGGGCGAAAAAGCATGCAGCAACATGAAATATTGGTGATTCCGTTAAATCTCCGGCGGCATTCTTACGAATGAACAAGGCCATTCGGGGCGGTATATTATACCACTATGGCAAGCAAGGGATATGTCTTCTACTACATGGTTTTATGTGTTCACCAGCCGGCGAAATTGTGAAATAAGTTCTGTGCATACCCACTAAGCAATTCTTATCAACAAGAACCCCTAAAATCCCTGTTTCAAGAAGCTGTCTTACTGGTAAGTAAGTATAACCAAAGAATGTGATGAATTGTCCAAGTAATCGTAGTAAAATTCGATAGTCCTCAAATTCACAGCTTACGGCGTCACAAAAGATAACTCTTATCTTTTACTTACAATACAATACAATACAATACTCGCTCTTGCTTTACTGATGCTCTTCTTCCGTCTTTATTCCATCACACTGGTCTGCTCCGTGAGTTACCGTGCTCACGTTCACTCCTGACACGCTTCATCCCTCCATCTCCTTTTGTATCCAACTTTATTATAGTCCGATGTGTCCGACTTCGTTTACCTTCTGACTTCTGCGCTCGATTATGTGCATCGTCTCAGAATAGTATTTACTAGTCTTATAAGTTTATACCGGCGAACTGCGGATATCAGGATGAGAGATAGGTGCAGCTTTTTTAGCTGTTTCTGATAAATATTGAGGCCATCGTTTAACATGCTTTGTGCTGCTCACATGGGACCAAGGATACCTCCATATGTGACAAAGCGGAAAGTGAGGGTGTATATAGGCTTGGTCGTAAAATGGGTCAAAGGTTGTTGGATAATATTTATGTAATCAACAATCACCAATAGTTAAGCACTTGAGCAAAGTTGGCTCCCGGGTTAGCAGAAAGCAACGGTGTACAGTCGCAAACCTTCTCAGCACTGGAATCTTGTTTCCTGACAAGACGACAATACCATTACCACATCCCAGTTGTTGCGATTCAAAACATGGTGCACATTAGCAGAATCTAAAAATGCGGCGCATTTTTTCGCATTTTAATTTTTATACCATGTAGTTGGTTGAATCCTTTGGAATTCAGAACCAGATTTTAAGTTGACTTTCCTCCTACCTTAGCAATCGGTCTCAAATAGTCAATTTGGGTAATCAGCACTCTTCTCCTCATCCAATAACCAGCAGCGTCATCCAAGGAGCTGTATTTGGCTCTGCTTTTTCTCCTCTACATCAATGCTACTAGCACGTCCACCAAAAATGGCCAACTCTTTCTATTTGCTCATGATATCAAGGTGGTTTATAAACTGCCGTGTGATGTGCTTCAGAGCACACTACTTTTGCTTTAAGATCTTCACTGTCTTGTAGAATGGTCTGAGACGGGCTTCATAAAATTCTCAATAGATAAGTCAAACATTGTGACATGTGGTTGATCGGTCTCCGATGGGTCCATTAAACTTAACAGTAAAAGTATATCCACATGGCAGGCTACTCGTGGTTTTGGAAGCCGTTATTCTTCCAACTTTCGTTTTGTTGAACAAGCCCAATACTAAATAGCTCGGGCTAAAAAAATCCGTGGCTAACAAATGCCACGAGGTACATACTGTCCCTGCCAAATCGGAATTATTTAAAACTCTCACTCGTCCTCTTCTCGATTACTGCAACCTCATCTGTACCATCATGGGGAAATTAGACAGGAAAGCTATAGAAAATTTACAGAGGTCATTCACCAAAAATTTGTTCTAAAGCATATCCACTCTAAACTATTGAGAACGTTGCAAACAGCTTCATATCGAGCCTCTCTGACTGCGACGTCTAAAGGAAAACTTGATGCGCCTACACAACTTGCTGCACCAGAAAACGTACTCATAGCTACGAAACAGAGATAAACCACAAGAACCATCACAAACACCGTAACAAAAAATTTACGCTACGGTTAACAATGGTTAGAACATCAATGGGGTCCAAATTTTTACTCATGACATACGCCGTCCTGTGAAACTGCCTACCAACCGTAAACATGACAAGGGAAAAACCTATGTTGTTCCACACCAAACTCGACAAATTCTCAGATCTAGTAGTGTTATCATCCATGTTCCCATCCGACAACTCACCTGATGAACTATAGCAGGATAGTCCAAAAATATCTAAAAGGCTAAAAAGTGGAGTAAACATGCACCCATGGAAGAGCATTATCATTTCTGTACATACTGATCTGTTCTTAATTTAGGAACAGTTGCTCACGCCTTCGGGATATATATATATATATATATATATATCCAGTGTAAACCCGAAGGAATAAGACCGGGAGGAATGTGGTTGGGAGCCACGTTTCATCAACGGAGCCGGCTCACACTCCTTCACA